AGACAAAAATGACCACCTAAATATCATTTTAATATATTTTTAAAACTCTCAGAGAATAAATAAACACATATTAACTATGTTTTTGCAAAGCTGGTTGCCCGCACCTTGAACTTAACGCTACCCATCAAATCCTGTGCAACACTTGCGCCTTCTTTCTTACACACTTTCATCTACTCTTTCTTCAAGTCCTTGTCGTTTTTGAAGACCTTCCCTGTTTTCCGGAGCTTGGCCTTCATAAACGCCCAGAATTTTTCTATTGGGCGAAGTTCTGGCGAGTTTGGCGGATTTGCCTTCTTCGGCACAAAAACAACATCGTTGGCTTCGTACCACTCCATCACCGGTTTCGCGTAATGGCACGATGTCAGATCCGGCCAAAACAGAGCGTCACCTTCGTGGGACCGGAGGAAGGACATCAGTCGCTTTCCGTGAGGAGCAGCAATGCTACCGACGCCAGGGAGGCAGCTGCCACACCTGGACGCTACCTATCGACCCATCAACTCATGGACCGAGGACTAACGGCTTTACTTCCCTTCCGAAGGAAGGCGTGATCAGAGATTCTATGCCTCAGAAAATACCGACGGCACTGACACCCAGGCCCTTTGGAGTTATTGGCAGTCACGCTTACCACTACACCACCGGCGCCGCTATAAGCTTTTGTAAACATAAGTTATAAGGCCCCTTTACATGCGAACCGAAGTATGCCAACGCAAGCCAATACCACTATTGGAAAGGAGAGAATTTCCCCTACCCGAATATAATAGGCGTTGCATAGGCGTGCTTCTGTTCGCGCGTATAGGGTCAACTTATGTTTACAAAAGTTCCGACAGAACTTTCAAGTTCCATAAAGTTCTGACAGAAGTTTCAAGTTCCATTAAGTTCAAATTAAGTTCCCTCAGAACTTTTAAGCCACATGAAGCAATCCGCACAAGTCTTTATTAGTAACAAAATTTAATGTTAATGGAATGGAATTCAACAAGGTGTTGTGTTTCATATTCAAGTCAGTCAGCTGGCACTGAAAACTCCAACAGTAGGCGGGACAACAGCTCACTTTAATATATCTCAGATGACGTAGCGGTTCGTGCTGGGGCTCTCACGCAGAAGGACAGGGTTTAATTTTCAAACAGCTCCAATTCTACTACTAATGCTGATAAATCAATACACAGCCTTTAGAAATAACTTTCATAAAAGTGCGAACTAAATATAGAATTGGTGTTGAGGACAAAAACCTTTTTTAATTTATTTTCTAAAAGTTCCGTTCAAGTTCCGCCAGAAGCTGCTTAGAATGCTCTTCAATTATGGTACCGGAACTTTCAAGTTCTTATAACGACTTAAAAATGAGGTTCATTAGAATTCTATAGACCACCTTCAACCAAGTATTTGGGGTCGTGACATAAACATGGACCTGAATGGCCATGGGACCGTCCTCCGAAAGATCTGAAAAATCCGTAAAAGTGGACAATCCACGAAACTGATCCTAGAGCTCCGCGTTTTTTTAACATTAGGAACTGTGATATAAGAATGAATTTGGGTCATGGACATGGCCAGCGGAAGATTCGGAACATCCGCAAAAGTGGTAAATCCACGATCCTGATCCTAGAGCTCCGCGTTTTTTTGACATTAGTAACTGTGATGATAGAAAGAATATGGGATTGTGACATAAACATGGACTTGGATGTCCATGAGACCATCCTCCGGAAGATCCGGAACATCCGTAAAAGTGGTAAATCCATGAAACAGATCCTAGTGTTCCGTGGTTTTCTTAAAAACGTTAGGAACTGTGATATTAGAATGAATTTGGGATCGTGACATAACATGGACCCAGATGCCCATCCGATGTCCTCCGAAAGATCCGAAAAATCCGCAAAAGTGGTCAATGTATGGAACTGATCCTAGAGGTTTTTACGAAAACATGTACCTAGAAGACCATGGGACCGCCCTCCGCAAGATCTAGAACATCTTTTAAAAATGGTCAATACTCGAAACTGATCCTAGAGTTCTACGGTTTTTTCGAGAGCATGTGGAACTGTGATATAATAAATAATTTGGGGTCATGGACCCAAATGGCCATGGGGCCATCCTCTGGTAAGTCCAGAACATCCATAAAAGAGGTCAATCAAAGAAGCTGATCCTAGAGCTCCGCAGTTTTTTCAAAAGACATTAGGAACTGTGATATAAGAATGAATTTCGCGCCGTGACATAAACATGTACCTAGACAGCCATGGGACCATCGTCCGGAAGATCAACAACATCCGTAAAATTGTCACTCCATAAAATTGAGAGGTGGAAGCAGTACTATGACGAGCACCTCAACGGTGTAGTAGCAGAACTCGAAGGTGGCACGGCAACAGACCTTGGAGCACGTGCAGAAGACGACAGGCTACCGGCCCCTGATCATCGAGAAGTTGAGGAGAAGATCGGTCGGCTGAAGAACAACAAAGCAACTGGTGTAGATCAACTACCAAGTGAGCTATTAAAATACGGTGGTGAAGCACTGGCTAGAGCGCTGCACTGGGTAATTGTCAATATTTGGGAGGAGAAGATATTACCGGAGGAGTGGATGGAAGGTGTCGTATGCCCAATAAAAAAGGGTGACAAGTTGGATTGCAGCAACTACCGAGCGATCACGCTGCTGAGCACCACCTACAAGGTACCCAAATTCTATGCCGCTGGCTGTCACCATTTGCAAGAGAGTTCGTGGGGCAATACCAGGCGGGATTCATGGGTTCTATTCGCGATTCGGCAGGTTCTGCAGAAATGCCGCGATTACAACTTGCCCACACATCATTTGTTCATCGATTTCAAATCCCGATACGACGCAATCGATCGAGATCAACTATGGCAGGTTATCCACGTTTACGGATTTCCGGATAAACTGACGCGATTGGTCAAGGCGACGATGGATCGAGTGATGTGCGTTGTTCGAGTATCTCGAGTCCCTTTGAATCTCGAAGGGGGTTACGGCAAGGTGATGGACTTTCGTGTCTGCTATTCAACATCGCGTTAGAGGGTGTGATCAAAAGAGCTGGAATAGACACGAGTGGCACAATCTTCAGGAAGTCCATCCAGCTTCTTGGCTTCGCCGATGACATTGACATCATGACACGGAACTTTCAGACGATGGCGGAAACGTACATCAGACTGAAGGCTGAAGCTAGGCGGATTGGACTTGCCATCAACGCATCAAAGACAAAATACATGAAAGGAAGAGGTTCTAGGGAAGACAATGTTAGCCTCCCACTCCGAGTTCAGATCTTCGGACAGCAGAGGACAACAAGGCCTTAGCCTGATTGCAAGCAAGCTAGCCATAAAATTGATCCAGGAGTTCCACTTTTTTTTTTCGAAAACACGTGGAACTGTGATATTAGAATGAATTTAACATTAACATCTTAACATAAACATGGACCCGAATGACCATGGGACCGTCCTCCGGAAGATCCGCAAAAGTGGTCCATCCATGATACTGATTCTAGAGCTCCATGTTTTTTTTTTCGAAAACTCTTGGAACTGCGATTTAAGATAGAATTTAGGGTCGTGACATAAACATGGATCCGGCTGGCCATGAGACTGTCCTCCAAAAGATCCGGAACATCCGTAAATTTGTCAATCTGTGAAACTGATCCTAGAGCTCTGCAGTTCTTTTTTTTTAAACTGTGATATAAGAAACCACTGGACCACTTTTACGGATTTTCCGTATCTTGCGGTAGACGGTCCTATGGCCATCCAGGTCCATGTTTTTGTCACGACCACAAATTCTGTCTTATATCACAGTTCCTAATGTTTAAAAAAATGCGGAGCTCTAGGCTCAGTTTCGTGGATTGACCACTTTTACGGATGTTCCGGATCTGCCGGGAGACCGTTCTGGTGTCTCCAGGATCCATGTATAGGAACCATGAAGGTATTCTAACTAATTATGAACATTTGTGCCCATTAATGTAGATTATAGATCTTAAGCCATTTGCAAAGCCCATAAACACACTTAAAAAAAAAAAGTTTAACGACTCTTTTCGCATTTTGAAAAAGTAGACGACTCTATTTTCAATGGTTTAACAATCAAAATAATCTACAGACCTTAGGAATGCTAGAGATGGCTAAGCTATTCGGAGTGTGAAACAAATAAAATTTGAAAAACATTGTTTAATGTAAAAAATATTTAAAATATTTTTAACCTTTATCAATGTTACCCCGTTTTACGGTAATGAAAATGGTACCATATTGTTTTAAAATTTAAATATAGCCCTATGCCGTGTGTAAACGGGGATAAATCAGTTCTATTCTGAATTTGAACTATGTTACTATGAAACAATCAAATTTACTTTCAATTTACATATAAAAGACAACCTGAAAGTCTGTTAAATTCAAATGAAATTCAGTGTATCTGTCATAATTCTGCAACATCAAAATGATATATGGTGAATTAGTGAATTGCCGCTCTGTTATCTGAAAAATAAACATTTTGCAGTTATTGAAAGTTGAATGTACATGTTTGGAACTTAATTTTGAATGGAATAGGAACTGAACTCTGAATTTTGAAAATTTAATCTTAAATTTAGGGAATTGAATGTCGCCTTATTTCAAAACTTTGAACAATGAATGAAGTTTTGGTTGAATGAAATTTATATATTAGCTTCGTAGTTCTGCGTCATTGATGCGGCCGTGGTTGCAATTTTTACTTAAAATAATAAATAAAAACTTTGTAGTCTTCCAAGAAAGACGATATTTTTTGTACAACGTTGTCTCAGGCGTCATTTTGATCAGAAATGCCGGTTCCGTGCTAGAATTTTTGGAAAAATTTCAAGGATGCCATTTTGAAAATTTTAGAAGATCCAAAATGACCGAATTTCAGCAAAAATCGGAGAAGGTCGATTCTAAAATTCAAATTTGAATCTGCCCAAATGTAAAAAATTTTGTATGAAAAGGCAATTTTATGTTTGCCTTAAGTTTCTAGGGGAATGTTTGATCCCCCTTCCCCCCTTTCAGTGTATTAAACAAAGCATACTTACTTGCAAAGTTCATGCAGCTTCTGCATCACATCCAGGACGACCTCCAGTGTCGGCGTTTCCTCAATCTGGGCGAGCTTCTTCTGGACGTTGGACCACCAGGGAAGATCGCACGGTAGCATAACCAGCGCCATCTTGCATTGATGATTGGAAGTGTTGGAATATATGTAAGCGTTCACCACCGGAACCGAAATTCCCCCGTGTGTATGAGAGTCAACTGCGCTGTACAAGTTGTTTACGACACGCTCATTGCCTGTAAAAAACACGAGAACATTCGCCAACAAAAAGGAAAGGTTACAACCTGATTATGCTAATTATGTCATGTTTATTGCAGGTAAACCCATAGGTGTACCACAGAAAGCGAGAGTCCCCAAACGAAACGCCACGCGACCACGTCTGGTGTAAACTGTCGTTGCCTTCTAGTTCGACATTTCCGACCGGCGACGGACAAACACCCCAGGCAGCCAACAGCACAGCAGCGTAGTGAAGCGCCATCACCCTGCTTAACCCCGCCGGCAAACTGTGACCGACGTCATTTAAAAGGGGGGGTTATGCTTTGGGGGGAATTTCTATGGCATCCAGCGCGCGTGGTGCAACTCTTGATTTTTCGTAGACGTCTTGGAGCGGCCACCCACTACGCACCCGTCGTTATGACTGTATTTATTGCAGTCGAATGAGAAAGGGGAAATCGCGTCCTCCAACCGTATAATAGTAACATAGTTACAACGCAGAGAGTCCCTCCGGCCACCAACCAGTTTTCATCTACCCGCTAGTCGATAAACAGTTGCAATTTATTACCGCTAGTCAGGCAGTGCGGCCTGGCGTGGTGGAAACCAGGGTTGCCACATATACAGATTATTTGGCATTTTACAGATTTTTTTGGATCATTTCTTGACCAAGAATCTGAAGCTAGAGATATACAGATTCTTCCACTATAGTCAATGCTCACTAGGTAAAAGCTTTTAAAGCGAAAACTGACTAGAAATTTCTCAAAATTTAACTGACTATTTATCAAAATAATGCCACTGAATGTCAGAAAGTGCCAAATGCATTTTGGATACATTTGACAACCGTTTTGGCACAAACAATGTGATGTGAACTTAGTAAATGTCACTCGCTAGGTGAAAAGCAAACCCATGAAAGTTGAATTTACGTATTTACGTACTCACATATCCTTCACAAAAACATGTTTCTATGATGTTTAGGTTTTCACCCAAGAAACAATTTGAGTTTTATGAGGGTTTTATGAGGGTTCTGTAGATCATGGTTAAGACTTGTATAATGCTTCAAAACCACAACAAAACTTGCATTGTTACTTGGGCAGTTTAATACCGATTGTTTGCCTACACTAAGGCAAAAGAACGTATGAATTCCATAAGAACAACTTATGAATGTTAGCCTTAAAAAATCAATATGAATTTCATTGATTTTCCTTATGAAAAATAATAATAAAACGGAGCAGTGTATCCTTTTCATGGACGTTGAGATTACGGGGCCCGTGTTTGAGCACTTTTAAGCCTTGCGAAAATGAAATGGTTAAAGGCGTATAAGAGCTACCTCATGTTAGATGGAAATCATTCATAATCCTCACTTATTAAATTCCTAAGTTTATTTGCCTCAGTGTAGTGATGCAGATATAAAAATTTTCTCACAAAAAAATAAAACTGATTTAAATGTGGCAACCCTGGCTGGGAACGGAAGAAGCGCGCCCTTTTGCGTGCGTGTCGTCAAGTGGCAAAACAGTAGTGGCATATGACGGTCGAAGGGTGTAAAGTGTAAAACAACGAAACTAAAAAGGGTAAACGTATCTCTAGCGTGTTCAGCAGTTGGACGTGGTTCTCTACTATCAACGTCATCGCTCTGGCTGGCGTCGCGTGATTCTGACGTGCCCCGAAGACGGCGGATATTTGATGTGAAAGTGTTTGTTTTCAGTAGCAGCGGGCGTGCGGTTATAATAAGCAAGCTATATAGGCACTGAAGCAGCTTGATAGCTCGACTCTTGAGCGTCTGTCGATAAATCTAACAGCCAAGTATTCAACCGTTCTATTTTCAGAAAGTTATTCATGTCTCCATCGAATTAATTCGTCTTTGTTCCTTAACTGTTTGAATGATGTTTAAATATTTCAAGACTCTTCTGAATTTAATTTTAAAATTCTCCAAACATCTTGAAATTACTAGTCTCATTAATGACTTCTATTAGTTTAATTACCTTTGGCAGCTTCTGTTTGTAAATTCCCTAAAGGCAACAGTCTCTTAACCTTTAAATGCAATAGAGATACATACAAGGGTATATGTACCCTCAGACTAAGTTTATTTTCGTACTTAGTTCATAAATCAATCAAACCACCTGTTCACAGCCACCGAAAAGAGACCCATTCATAGCGCTCTATCCCCTTCGGAAACACCTAACAGCTTACACGTCTACCTAGTGCCAATCCCATCAACGCGATCGACGACTCGATGGTCAGGTTAAAAATAAATCGCAATTGATTCACCTATCGGTGATATGTGAACATTTCCAGGTCAAGTAGCAATCAAACAAAAAATCTTATTCGACCTTTTCCGATTTGCATGAAACTTTGCATAATTGTTTGTCATGGTCAATCGTTCACGCTTTAGCTGAAATTCGGCCATTTTGAATCTTGCAAAAAAAAACAAAATGGCGTATTCGATATTTTTTAAGATATCATAACTTGAAAACGTCGCTTCCAGTTGAAATGACGTCTGATACAAAGTTGTAGTAAACAATAATTTATGTTCAGGAAAAATATACACAGTAAAAAATTTCAAAAAAGTTAGAGATACTTAACGGTAAATATCAGACTTAAAGTGGCCATTTTATATAATCGATGAGGAGATGAAAGTATAGAGTTGATAGTTCCGTGAGAGTACGGTAGTGTGAAAATTGTATATAGATAGTAGAAAGCCAACAAAGATCAATTTTGAGGACGTTACGAATCGGGTTGATCATCTCCATTACCAAACTCCCCCGATGGGGAGGGATGGTGAGGTGTATCCCCCTCCCCTCACCACCACTGACAAAAGAGATGATCGCCGATTTGCTCATGTACCATCAATGTGCGGAAATAGTTCTATCGATTATTTCACACTGATCTGACGTAAGCCCCTCCCATCACTATCCCTCCCCAACGGGGGAGTTTGGTAAAAGAGATGATCAACCCGATTCGTACCTCGCACAAGGATCATTCTCTGCCTGACCATCAAGCTGTACAGTCCGATTTTCTTTTCGCTCGCTCTCTCGCAAGAAAGCTGGTGCCAGCAACCACACGGAAAGGTTGCTTCAGAGTAATCCGTTCTCGGCACTCCCCGAAGAAGCAGATATAGATCCAGTTGAGAAACGGGAAAAAGTGCCCCCACTGTTCACCTCGACGAAGGAACTCGCGTTGCTCAGGAATGAGCTGGCTAAAAATCAAATCCATCCGCTGTTCAAGCTGTACAGCACGGGGATCAAAATCTTGTGCTCGACGCTGGCGGACTACAACGCTGTTGGCACATTTCTTCAGCTGAACCGGTTTGAGTTCTACACTCACGACGTCCCTGGAAGCAAACCACTGAAAATGGTGATCCGTGGTCTTCCAAATCTCCCTGTTGCGAAGATTAAAGCGGAATTTGAGCACCTTCATCTGCAACCAATCAACATGTTTGACGTAGGACTACGTCTGTGTTTTCTATATGGGAGTACACTTTGTGAAAACCAAAAGTGGAACATGTAACAAAATTATGAAAGATTTTGAACATTAATAACTCAGCTGCCCCTGGACCAACTTCAATAATTTTATCACCAATCGATCAGAAATATTCCACGCATCAATAGTAATGGAAGCACTGATGATTTTTTAACAAGAAACTATTGGTAATGTCAAGCACTTCACTGTTTTCATGAAATAAACGTTCTTCCCAAACCCAGACGTCAACATCGAGTACCACTTGGTTGCACCTCATTCTGCTTTAACCTGAAAAGATATAAAAGAGCGCTGCTGTCTAGCCTCAACTCATCATTCGCTGCCAGACTGTTCAGCAGTTCAGTCGATTTGAATTCTCTCTAGTTTCGTTCGTTCGTTCGCAAGTCGAATTAGCTCCGCGTTGTATAGTGACGCTCTCGCTGACCCAGCCATGGGTAAGAAATCGCGCGGTAACGCGAGTGCCGGCTTACCGGGAAAACAGACTCTCCCAGGAGACGGCGCGACCACCGAGCCAGCTCAGAAGAAGCAGAAGAAAACCCCATTACCCGTCCCGACAGGCGTTGCGGACCCGCAGCCGGGGCCTCCCGGAACTAAACGACCCAGACCTGAAGACATCAGCGCCACCGCATCGGCAGCAAAAAAGCTGCTGAGCAACAATCCGTTCTCCGCCCTGCAGAACGGAGCCCAGCCGCAGTCGGACCCTGAGACGGTGCCTAAAAAAGTTAAGTTGCCACCCTTCTATGTGAAGGGCTTCCCTCCCGGGCTATGGGAGCAGCTGGATTTCTACATTAAGCAGGGCCTTCGATGCACCATTCAACGGTGCACGGAAGGCTACAAACTGATGGTCTCGGCCGAAAATCACTACAACGCAGTCCAGGCCCTCTTGGACAGGATGAAGCTGGAGTACTTCTCCCACGACGTCGAGGCCACCAAGCCGCTGAAAGTGGTGCTGCGCGGGCTCCACGACATGGACACCACCACCTTAATGGACGAGATTAAGGCGAACGGCCTCAAGCCGGTCGAAATCCACAAGATGACCCGCAGCAAGGCCATCAAGTATCGTGACCAGCTCTACTTGGTCCATCTGCAGAAGAACTCCACAACCGTGAAGGATCTCCATACGACACGCACACTGTTCCACATCGTAGTGAAGTGGGAGCGGTATAAGCCAACCCACCGTGGCGTCACTCAGTGCTCGAACTGCCTATTGTTCGGGCACGGCACCAGGAACTGCCGCATGGCCAGCCGCTGCATCAAATGCGGCAAAAACCACAAGATCGACGACTGCGACAGCATCGAGGAAGCCGCTCCCACATGCGCCAACTGCGGTGCTGCCCACAAGGCCACGAGTAAGGCCTGTCCGAAGCGGGCCGAATACGCCGAGATCCGGAAGAAGGCCTCGTCCAACAACCAGCCCGGTCGCAAGAAGGTCCCGGAAAACAACGCGCAGAACTTTCCTCCGTTATCACCGGTCCAACCACGGCCAATTCCAGTGTTGGCGCCGCTCCCGCTCAACCAACAGTTGGCTGCTGCCCAGTCGGCTGCCGCT